AAAAACCTTGTAATGTAATTGTTCGAAATTTTCCTTACATAAATCATTTTAACCAAGTATAGGATGGACTGAGTGAAGCAAGTTTAGTACAAAAAGACCTTTAGGGCTTATAGGGCTGATATTCTCCTAGTACAGTCCCAAGCTAGCTTGTTTGAGATTTATTACATCACTGAAAATGTTTAGAAAAAATGCCATGATCATGCACTGTAACTAAATATCACAAATTTCAAGCATGCAATTCTGATTGAGAGCCGACTGGGGGTATACTCACGTCTAATGTTAAACAAAAAAGAAGGGAAAGAGAGTTGGAAGAAAGAGAAAAGGAATCTTTTATGTGAAGGTAAGTTCTTTCAGAAATGTCAGTCATTAAAGAGGGTCATGAAGGGGGGTACCAAATCCCAGTTCCCAGCTTAAATTTGGTCCAAATCCCAGTTACCAAATCTAAAATCCCATTCCCAGTGATTGTTTGCAGACTAATGTGTATAATTAATTAAATGCGTGACTGACGTCATTTGGATACACACATCTGTTCACCTGAACAGAAGAAAATCTCTCATTCTTCTGGTGAGCAGTCGTCATGTTGATCGGTGCAGGAGAGAACCTGCACAGGCTGTTCATCAGACTCACCTTCTGGACGTTCTGCACTTTCCCCTGGCACTGAGCTTTGCGCACGAGGAAGTACAAACTGCAAATCTAATGGATTAAACAATGTCTGTGTTTTATACAAATTCAGAGGCAGTGTCCCAGCTCTTTCCATTGTGTTGTCTTCTTGTACACTTTACTGCCTTACACACTTGTCGTATTGTTTTGCCCACACTCTCATCTCTGCTTCATAATTTCTGGACAATCTTTCTCCGACCAGTTTGGGAATTTCAACAAGGACCAACTGGCCAGTAGCAGAAGGTTCAACAGGGTAGTATGAGTTGGGATGCTTGTAATAATGTGCAGACCATGGTGTCACTCTCTTTACTCCTTCTTCAACTGATGAACCAAAAATCTATGCGTATTCGTAGAGAG